TGTGTATGTATGTGTGTTGATGTGGTGTGTGTGTGTGGGTGGGGGTGTTGTGTGTGTGGTGTGTGTGTGTGTGTGTGTGTGTGTGTGGTGTGTGTGTGTGTGTGTGTGTGTGTGATGTGTGTGTGTGTGTGTGTGTGTGTGTGTGTTGTGTGTGTGTGTGTGTGTGTGTGTGTGTGTGTGTGTGTGTGTGGTGTGTGTGTGTGTGTGGTGTGTGTGTGTGTGTTTGTGTGTGTGTGTGTGTGTGTGTGTGTGTGTGTGTGTGTGTGTGTGTGTGTGTGTGTGTGTGTGTAGCTGAAGGAGGGGGAGGACTCAGAGGAGAGGGGTCGTATCCTGGTGTCCCTGATGTACAACAGTCAGCTGGGTCGTCTGATGGTGGGCGTGGTCCGCTGCGCTCACCTGGCTGCCATGGACTCCAACGGATACTCCGACCCTTTCGTTAAATTGTATGTACTCCATTAATCTGAATCCTCCAGATTAGGTATTACAATTACCTTTACATTCTCTCTGAAGAGTGTCCATAGTTAAAAGAGGCAACTTTTGGTAGAGGGTAAAGTAACAAACTCACAAAATTCTCACTTGAGAAAAAAAAGGGACATGTAAAGTAAAAGCAGTATTACTAACAGAATATGCTGCATTCAAATATTATATTAAAATACGGCAATATTTTATTTGCTGGGAGTTAGTTTAGAAGATTGATACCACTCCAATGTATGTAGCCTACGTTAAATATATACGTAGCTACAGCAAGGAGATAGTTAGCTTAGCTTTGCATAAAGACTGGAAACTGTAGCAGCAAAAACTAACGGGCGTACATGTGCATCCATGTGCCCTTTAATATCCCTCTATTTCAGCCCATGTTAGAGAAGGGCTGATTCTGGGTCTAAAGCTTTAAAAAAGCTTATGCTGAGTGTCTGATCAGGAGATTTCTACCCAGATGCAGCTAAATGCTGCCGTGATTTAATGCCATATCATGTTCAAAATCACATTAAGGAATATTTCTGAAACAGTATGGAGCTCAAATGCTTTTTCTCTTACGGGTTTACCACAAGGTGAGTCCCTTTTTATATCCTGATTTTTTACACATACTCTCTCCAGTACAGGTTAGCTCTGAGTGTTAGCGATGCTTGCTAATGTAAACAAAGACCATATTACTTCCAAAACACGTCGCTCATTGTTTCTGATAGGGCCGTGGGTGTAAAGCCAGCCCACATTTCCGATATTATGTCATATCGGCAGCAAATCTGGATCAGCTTCGTTGTACCCCCGTTTTTAGAGATTTGGGTAGAGAGAGAGGGTTTTGCTTTCTGACACTTTGTGAGTTCCCTGACACACCGGGGACACATATTTTTATCGAAAAGTGCATTTTGCATGATAGGAGGCCTTTAAGGGACAGACACGGGGGGTATTGATCTTATCATTTGACTTTCAACATAAAGACAATAATAGTTTTGAATGTTGAACAATTTTGTCTGAAATGTCTCACAGATTTGAAGACATCATTGTTGATGATTTTGTTTCTGCAGTTTATACAAAGTGTTTTATTATAATGTGTGTCATAATGTCACTGTTTCTTTCCTTTGTGCTGTAGGTGTCTGAAGCCAGATATGGGGAAAAAAGCTAAAAACAAGACGCAGACAAAAAAGAAGACTCTGAATCCCGAGTTTAATGAGGTCAGTTATTTCTCAAACTTTGGCATTGTATTTGCACATACTGAACTTCTCCATCTCTTCTGCTCAGCCAGATCTCAGTTAGAGATTTTGTAATCATGTTCAACAACTGTGTTTCAGGAGTTTGGTTATGAAATAAAACATGGCGAGCTAGCCAAGAAAACCCTCGATATCTCAGTCTGGGATTATGACATGGGAAAATCGAATGATTTCATTGGTAAGTGTGGATACTGTCTTGTGATCACGCTTCAAACATAATTTCCTTGGTTTTGCAATGTCTACTGTTTCGTTAGGCATCAAATGTAATTGTGTTTATCGTGCCTAGGATGATTCTTAACAACTTTGGTGATCCTGAGTTTTTCTTCAAGCACCAACATGATGTTGATATTTGTGTGATTGAGTACAATTTCATTTGGATGGATTGTAAATTTGGTAAATACATTTATTTCGCTTTCAGGATGAAAAGTGAAAACTTTAGTGATCGCATTACTTTTGATGTTGGATTTATTACTAAAACCTGCAAAACTAATGTTATTAACATCCTCCCAGGCTGTTCTTAACTTAACTGAAGTAAGATGGGACACTATACCTGGTAAAAATCAGCATATAAGTCTTGCCATTGTGAGCTAAATACAGCGTCATAGAGATGCTATCATGTACAATAACTCTTAGTGTTTATGTATTACTGCTAACTTTTCTCTGTGCCTCCAGGAGGATGTCAGCTGGGCATCCAGGCTAAAGGGGAGTGTTTGAAGCACTGGTACGAATGCCTGAAGAACAAAGACAAGAAGATTGAGCGCTGGCATGTTCTGCTAAACGACAACTCTGTCCAGTTTGACGATTAAAACCTCTTCTATATTTATTCTTTCTCCATCATTCCCCCTGTAGCATATTGTCTTCCAGTCAGCACGGGTAGACGGATATTCTCCTCTTGCTTTGATGTGGTTTGTCCCCTAAGTGCAATGTGCAGGCTACATTTTACACCTGTAACAGTTTACAGGTGACCAACACGGATGTTGACCTCTGGCTCTTTGTTAATGAGGAGCATATCATATCATCAGCTGTTTCATATAATAAGTAAACCTCATATGCACTAATGATTGAACAGAGTTATCATTTTTTATGGAGAAACAAAACCTTGTTATCATTGTGATTAACACACTATGTTGAAATTAAGTGTGCCTCCATGGGGAATTCCCTTTTTTCTTGCATTGACCTGTTCTCCTAATGTTGATCTGTGCTCTTGTCATACGATTATGAGATCATGTAATGTGTTATCTACGTGACGAGTGCTTGCATCATGCATATGTTAAATATTTAATGGGACAAATACAGCTGTTTGGTTTCCAAAATGATGTTTTTTGTTGATGTGAAATGCGTTTATTTATTTTTTTGACAACATGTTGGTCTCTTTATCACTTCATCACCTGTGCATGTGTGAGCTCTCCTCTACTGGAGAATTGCTGAAATGCTTCTGCATGACAGTTCATTATGAAGAACATACTCAATAAAACAATGTTAGCACACTTGCAGATAATCTGTGAATTTTTCTTGAGAGATATATATGAGATTCAGATCTGCAAGTGTTATCAGATTGATGATTCACATTTTGCTCTTTGTATTTATATCGATGCATGTCATATTGTAGCATACACGTGGCTAATAAATAAAGACATCATGGCACTTCCTGTTCTCCTCTGCTTGCTTGTGTTGTGACATGTCAGGAATCAGGCGAGGTTTGAGCCAATCAGCTCAGACAGACACGCGGCGGAGAGTTTTGCGAACTTTGACTTCTCGTGATAAAACCTCTCTGCTTTCCAAGTGGGTAAAAGTTTACAGACTTGTTACACTCTAAGTCTGCTTGAATTTGAAGCTCAGGAATAATCTACCCTTTTTACCAGTAGTGAGGAGGTTCAAAGGAGGGCCTGATGGGAAACAAAACATTTATATTTGACAAAAAATATAAATATTTACAACTGATCTGACTTAACATCAAACATCTGGACAGCAGAAGAAAATGGAAAGAAACTTGTGAAAAGGCAGCAGCTTAAATTATATGCACCTTTTGGTTGCTCACACATTTTTCTTTTGTTCTTTTTAAGTTCTGGATACTATCACTTCTTCAGTAGGTTCAATTACCTTTTTGTCTTGATTAATTTATTCTCAGAGGCCATAAACTTGTAATTGTTTGTTTGACTCATCAATGCAGAGATTTTGTATTTTTATTCCATGCATTGGTCTTTCTCGTCAAAACTTTGGACCTACATTACCCATAATGCTAATTGACCACAGAGAATTCAGTCGGAGATTGAGGATTGTCATGTACGAAGTGGCTAATGTGTAAACAACGCTGACTCACGGACATCACTTGAGTCAATTAATCAAAGTGTGTCCCTTTAGAGACACTAAGGACTTTACTTTATTAACTAAATGTAACATACAGTATGCTAGTAATCCCAGACAACATAACTTTACTATAAAATTATTGTAGATCAAAAGGTTAAAATATTCCTGGCTTGAAAAATAGTCACCCCACATTTGTTCTCTCTGATTGTTCCCACCTTCTGTCAATGAATGCAACATGAAAGCAATCACTGATATGATTAGGGTTAGCTTTGTAAGTATTCTCTGTGGAGGAGTAGCATCCGGACACATAACCTTGACAATAAAACAATATTACAAACATTTCTTTATTACCAATTAAACTGTATACATTCACACAAATACTGTATGTTTTAAGCAAAATCCAGAAGTGTTTCCCCATAATTTCATCGGAACTGTAACAAAATGTCATTTTTTACTCAACTTTAAATGTCGTCCTCCCCACAATCTTTCAAAAATAATATCTGTTTGTCTAATATCCCATTTTGTAATCAATATAAATGTATGAGTTTGTCCAACATTAATTGAAGAGCCTATTTATCGTGTCTATCTGGGAGCAGCTGTCACTTATAAATGTGTCCCATTTGTAGATTGAACTGATTTGGCTTGTGTGTGTGTGTGTGTGTGTGTGTGTGTGTGTGTGTGTGTGTGTGTGTGTGTGTGTGTGTGTGTGTGTGTGTGTGTGTGTGTGTGTGTGTGTGTGTGTGTGTGTGTGTGTGTGTGTGTGTGTGTGTGTGTGTGTGTGTGTGTGTGTGTGTTAATCAATTTATGTCATGGTCACTGTCAGTGATGTGTAGGCGCGAGACAGAGGAAGAGAGGAGTGATGTTTGACTGAACTGACAGGTCACGTGGTTCAGGCTGATTTGGATGTTGCGTTCATTTGAGATCCACTGAGTGAAAAACCCGGCGCGTCACCGCCCCCCTTTCTTATTTAAAAACAGACCTAGCGTCTGTCAAGCTGTCATTGAGTCCTCAGTGGGTGGAGGATTCATTCGTTTTAGATTTAAAGTTTAACAGCCCCTCTCTTTCAGCCGCTTTTTTCGCGCTTTTTCAACATGACGCACATCTCTCATTTTCTCACTCTCATTTTAACTTTATCCCTCCTGAGCTGCACGGCTGCAGAAGCGTCTATCCTCTGCACCTGGACTAAAGTGTTGTCTAATAAAGAGGTGCATTACGTCTTTCTCCACGGTGATGCCTCTCCATCTCTGCGGCTCTACCACAGCGCCTGGTCCGAGCAGCGCGCACTGCTCAGCTGCACTTGGAGCGACGACGCAGCAGTGATCCAAAACTATTTCTCTATATGCCGTGAGCGCAGGGACGAGTTCTCAGATCATCCAGATAAAAGTATCGATTTGGACTCCATGTTGAATGCAGAGGGGCTGTGCGTCTCTTTGGCTTCTCCAGGAGATGGAGGACAGGAGGTGCGCACAGGAAAGAGGCTGGTGAGGAGCGTCAGTGGACACTCGGCAGCTGAGAATCATCAAGGTCAAGCTGAAAGGTCAGAGGTCAGGACTCACCAGCGTGTAAAGCGTGGCTTTATTGTGCCAGGGACTCTGTGGTGCGGCTCTGGCAACAAGGCGCCATCATATGCAGATTTGGGTAGGTTTGTCTCTTTTCTTTCCTCTAAAAATCAATGTAATAGTCCTTGATCAATGTTGGAAAGTAGTTCCCAGGAAAATCTGACAGTTATGATAAAAGGTGTTTCGTTTCTTTTTATTAAAATACTGAAGACTTTTCTTACTTTACATGACATGACATTAACTCTATCCAAGCAAGTTGTGTCACTTAAAGGTAAACAAACTAATTGCTGTTTAAATTAACTGTTTATCACATTGTGGTTATCTATGTGGGAATTATTTCTCATAAAACATTTGCAATCCTGACTTTCCTCAAAAGTTTAAACATTCATTTATTGCGTTCATGGTTACAGGTTCCTATCTTTGCTGGCTCATTACTGCCACTTGTAGGTCAGTAGAATACTGTGTGACCAGACCGAGTTGTGTATCACCACCACCCATTTAAAACATTGACCAATAGTGCAAGGAGTGGTAAAAAAAAAAAAACTCAGGGCACTTAAAGTTGTTTTCTTATGCTTGACAGACCTCCAGAACAACAGATGAAATTACAAAACCGTTGAATACTATAGGTGTAGAGCATGTGTATCACCGGAAGTTGATTTGTCTACGCCATCTTGAGTAGCGTCCCATGGCTCTTATTTCCATGCTTATTTCTGCCGGAAGACCGAGGGTCGAGGAGCGAGGAGCGATAATGGAGGAGCGAAAACCGAGGAACCACCAGACCATCCTCCGATGAAATCCTCAGATACTCGCCCAGCCCCCTCACTGTGTATCGCTCACTGATTGGACGATGCAGCGCATGCACTGATCTGATGCTTCTTGACCTTTATACAGTCTATGTTCTTGACATGAGAGCCGTTTCCCAGCGGAGTGAAGAAAATACATGAACCTCACGGGACTCACTCAGTTTATACTGTGTTTTGTTTAAATTAATGTATAATTTAGTTACAAATATGTGATATATCTGAACAACAAAGTGGTCAAAAATCATTTTATTCATTTATTGGAAACATTTTCATGATCGCTTTTTTCGTTTTACATTTTCATTTATTCTCATTTCCATTCAGTCATTAAGTGCTATTAAAATGTTAATGTGATACATATCCACACAAACAAACAAAGTGTGCAGTCCAATGAATGTTAATCTAACTGGGTTTTGATAGATAACATTTCTCTTTTTCTTCTCTCAATTATTTTATTTCTATTTGTGCACTCTAATCAATATTAATCAAACTATTGTTCGTTTATACATTTTAAGAATGGCGTTTATCTTTTTTGAGAATGAGTTCTTATTTTATTTATTGGGGTCTACAACAGATGATACAAATGTTTGTGTCTGTAAATGTGTGGCGGGGGTGTTTGTGGAAATAACGGGGACAGAGCTGCTGTCAGATGATCAGCTGTGCGGAGTCATCACAAACGGACGTCGCTCCACGTGACGCTTCGGAGGAAAGGACGTCCCATTGCTCTTAAAACTAATTTCCCTGCTTCTCGTGGTTTCCTTGCGTCTCTCCATGCTTCTCTGGTGGGAAGGACTACTACACCAGACTGTATATAGGACTAAACGCAGGGAAACGACGCAAGTGAGGGACGCAAGGATTCAATTTAATCGACCTGAGATGGGCCCTCAATGTACAGCTGCGATGCTAGTTCAAGCCAAATACTTGGCATCTCATCTTGGGTGCATGTTCATCAATGTTTGGGGTCAGGCCCTGAGCTGAGGAAACCCTCTGGATTGAGTGAAGGTGTGCGTGCAATATACCGGCGGGCCAGATCTAATAGTAATTAAAAATTATCCTGCGGGCCGAAATTAAATCCACCAAGGGCTTGATTTGGCCCCCGTGCCTTGAGTTTGACACATGTGGTGTCGAGTGTTTTTTTTTCAGTTTTCACAGTTTGGTTCCCAAAAATGTAGTCTCTGTTAACACTTTCTGGAATTGTAATGGTATTTGACTCAAGATGCAGTTTCCTTTTAAGATAAGATAAGAAAATATAAGATAAGATAGAACTCTATTTACTTGAATGGAAATTGTTGAGCAACAGTACAAGGCTGGAAAGTGTGCAATTATAGAAATATCAACCAAAATCTGAAAATGTACACAACAATAATTATAATTTTGTCATTGATTTTTCTCTCTCATCCCTCTTGCAGGAGTGTTTTCAGATACTGACAGCTGTTGTCGTGAACATGACCAGTGCAAACACACCATCCTGTCCTTTCAATCCAAGTTTGGGGTCTTCAACAGCAACATCTTCACCATGTCTCACTGTGACTGCGACAACATGTAGGGAGTACATGAATGTAGATGACATCCAGTCTATATCATCTGATTTGTCCTCTTTAACGTTATTTAACCCAAAATGTTTCATGCTGCAGGTTTCACAGTTGTCTGATTAATGGGAACGACAGCATATCTGATGTGGTGGGATACACTTTCTTTAACCTGCTGAAGATGCACTGCTTTGAGTTCTCACACAGACTCCAGTGTGCTCAGAGAAACTGGTTTGGAATGTAAGTAACGTTTTAATTTATGTATGTAGTGTATGTTTGTGATTTGGATGACTATCTGAATTTTTATTTATGCTACCAGCAATACAGTAGATGTCAATGTTGATTGGTCCACTACTTTTGTCCTGATTGATATGTAACTACGTATATTCACTCAAGTGGTGTACTCATGTGCTATTTTAACTAAATTGTACTTTACTTTAAAGTTGAGTTTTTCCATTGTATGCAACTTTGAACATTCACTACTACATTTCCGAGACAACTATTTTGATACATTTAGTCAAAGTCAAAGTCAGCTTTATTGTCAATAATTCTACATGTTGTACATCCAGAAATATCGAAATATCGTTTCTCGCAGTCCTACAGTGTGACATATATACATCAAACAGAAAAACAAAAAGGGCCTAGATAAACTTGGTATATATTCAATAAAATAAAGTGCCTAGATAACCGGGGTATATTTATCTGGCTGCTGTAGTAACTTTCATATATTTCAAATGATATTACTACAGGTGCAAAGAGACTGCAATGGCTCTCTATGCTGAGGTTCATCCACCCTCCCTGTACGAGTCTACCAATACAACAGAGGTGAACAACACAGACTTCACCATGAACACCACCTCACCCACAGAGCTGCTGGGGAGCAGCATTTCAGACTCCATCGCTGCTGCTGTTTCCACAGTCCCTACGCCTTTAACAAGTTCCCCCTCCACCTCCATCACACCTGTGACCAACGTTACCTCATCCACATCAGAGGGATCAACACCTGAGAGGATCGATGATCTGCAGAACACTTTACTGACCAAACAACAAACTCCATCTGAGCTGGACATCACAGGTATTTCAGTCATCTCTCCTCTTATCTCCACACTCCCACAGTAACAGAAAGTTGGAGAGATTAGTCATAAAACCTTGAAATAAGTCAGCAATTTAGTACTTTTAGTTCCCTCATTTTGAAATAAATGGATTTTTGAATGTGTGATTGGATAGATGCCTGAAATAAGGTCTGTGGTTATCAAAAGCCTAACATATTTTAAGGTTTTATTTATTAAAATATGGTTTTATTTTATGGCTTAAATTATGTCAGTAAATACCCAACTCGTTAAATTCTGAAGCTTTTATGAGTTATAATAAAGGCGGTTCCCAACAAGTGGCCAAATGTCATCACAAAAAAGACAAGTCATGAAATCACGAGTCATGAAATCATGCAAAAATATCCAATTCATGTTTAGAGATATTCCTGCTGAACACAATATGAAGTTATCATAAATGTCTGTGTGCTACAGAGCTAAATTACTGCATAAATCAGATGAAAAAATCCCATTGGCGTTTTGTTTGGGGAACAACTGTGATGCTAACTTCCAGATCGGCTGACAACAACCATCAGTGCATGACTCAATGGATCTGAACATAATGTCTAAATCCCACAGAGAAGCAGCTGTCCTGTGCCGTCTACAAGGATCTCGATGAGTGCAGGAATAAGATCCCTCCGCAGCAGGAAAGATACGGCCTCCACAACACAGAGGCCAGGACGATGTACCACTGCAACTGTACCACCAGGTAAATAAAGACATCAAGATATCAATTATACTGAGAATGTACATTTATTTTGGATAACATTGTTGGTCTCGCAGGGGCATAATCAGCTGGTCAGTCTGACACAGAATGACATTGAGTTGTGTCACAACATGTCTACACATATCGACCTAAACCGCCAGGGTAAATATTTACAGTGCTATTCAGTATATTGCAGTGACGTGCGGTGAGGTTCGTGGCTGGTGAGGCACTGACTCTTTCAGAGTCAGATTTACAAATATTATATTTTGACCTTAATCGAAATGTTCGGTTATTTTCAAAAGCTTTTTTAGTCTGATGCTTCGATTCATTTTAAACAGACTGTTCAACAAAAGGATACCCACAATCTAAATATTGGATTGTTCTTTCTTAGTAAGATCCCATGTTCATTACAATTGTGGTCTTACCTTGACTTGAAGATGCAGTCCATGCTATCCTTCTGGACAACAATCTCCATTACATTTTTGTAAAAGTCCTCCTTATCTTCCTCTAGTTTCAAAAGTCTAGCTTGTTGTTTGCGTCTAGTCTACCGTCTCTGCATAGAATAACAGTAGCAACAAGAACCTGTGGGCTCACGTGCGCCCCCTTCAGTGCGGCAGAGGTTATGGCTGCCTCTCCTGGTGCTTTTTTCATTGCCGTTGTATGATGAGACCAGCGAGCCTAAATATCATATGAAATAAATTATTTAGAGACTATGGATGGCGAGGATAAATGTAATAAAGGGATCTACAAACATTACATTGGTGACATACAGTGAGATGGTAACAGGCATGCGCTGAGGGCCCGCTTTCCAGCAAGTTTCTGAGGGGTGACGCATTCTGAGGTGAGGCAGAGCTCATCTGTGCCTCACCTCACCCCACAGTAACTGGCTTGAGCGCGCTCACAAAATAAGTGCCCGTGCTACATTAGTGCCCGCGCTCCAGCCAGTTACTGTGGGCTTACGTGAGGCAGAGCTCGTCCCTGCCTCACTCCTCATCGCTCCCATGTAGGAGTTGTAGCGGAGCTCGGCCAATTTGCTGATTTTGACTATAAGAAGCGATTGGAATCATACAGAAATCACACTTACAACACAGATCAGTGGAGACATGTTATTATTATTATTACTATTTAGTTTTTCTTTAGTTGTTTTTCCGTTACATTGGAGTATGACAGGTGAGGCTCTGCCTCCCCTGCCTCCCCTGACTGCACGTCGCTGGTATATTGTGATAATGGTGCACTCACCCTTATTTCTGTTTGAGAAAAGGCAGACATGGTGCGATGTTTCATCACACAGAACCAGGTCACAAGCAGCATGCACTCATATTCAGAGTCACACGGTTACATAAGGTGTGGCGACTCTCTGAATCCGCACAGATATGATTTCACAGCCTTGGAAATTATCATAATCTCATGTTTGCACACATGGGCTCTCTGCCCTGCTCTTTTTGCTTTGATGGTTTGAGCATCTGCTGTGTGTGTTTTTGGCCTCTCTGGTCTCTGACGTGTTTGTCTGTGCTTTCAGATTATTCCCGACTTTGGCTAAACAGAGACAACTGACCGAAGTGCAGGCTCTTCTGCTGGGACATGTGTCTGAATCCTGCTTCCTGCTACAGGACTGCACTGCAGGCAAACTGTAAGAATACAAACACAGACATAGACATATTGACATAGCCTGTCACTGGCATTAAACACCGCTTTTTATCTATTATGATATAATTAGGAGTGATGGCATAAGAGTTCAAATCTATTACCAAGTAAACATATCAATACAACAATAAAAAAGTATAATACTACTTCAGTAAATACTTCTTTTAAGAAGTTTCTTACAGTAAGTACAAGTAGATAGGTATTATTAGAAGCCAGTCTAATTACTAAAATGTCTCCGGTGACTGATATCTGATTCTAAGAAAAAATATAAATCTGCAAAGTAACTAGTAACTAGAGCTGTCAGACAGATGTAGTGGAGTGAAAAGTGCGATATGACCCTCTGAATATAGTTAAAATTGAAATTTGAAAAGTACAAATACAAATATTCAAGTAAAGTACAAATACTTGCTCCTTTCAACCACTTGTCCAATGGTTCCAAACATGGTAAACGTCAAATTAATGGAGATGGGCGGTAAATTCTACATTTGCTTTCCCTTTTTGTGCGTTATCCTTCATTTTTTCCCTCGTTTCAAGTGAATACAGTACTTAGTTTAACAGTACAGTGTCTCAAAACTACAATTTCTTCTTGTTCTTACAGCTGTGGAGCAGTTCTGGTGAAAGCAGAGCTTCCTGAGAGGAGCAGAGCAGAAATGGAGGTGCAGCACCACCTACAGGCTGTCAGGCTGAAGGTGAGAAGGCCCAACGTGAGGAGAACGAGGAGGAAGAACAGAGCAGGCAGGCTTCACAAACTGTGTCTGAGGATGGTCCGGCCCAGACTCAACATGAACAAGACCCGAAAACTAGGTCAGGAGGACACACATCAGCCAGCTGTAAGAGGAAGAGAGCTTGCCTGAGAGTAAAAAGTATGGAGAGTCAAAGTGTTCCGAAATACTGAAATACATAAGATGTTATTTAAGGTCATTTTCATTTTATTCCAGCACTTAATTTAATGTTAAGTCTTCTTTCTTCCAAGGTTCCTTTATCCTTCGTTCCAGATGACAGTTTTGGCCTGAAAGACCAGACATTATTTTTCCACTTAATTTAAGTTAGTTTATGAATCATTCAACATCATTCCAAGGGATAATAATTAAAGGTGGGGTAGGTAATTTTGAAGAAACCAGCTCGAGTGCGCTAGAATAAAAAAAAAAAATCTGCCACTTCCTTACAGAGCCCTTCCTCCAACACACATGAACGCGCACATAACCAATAGAGTGGCGAAGTCACGCCCATCTACTTCCGCCCCATGGGACCTTATTTCTGAAAAATTATGTGTTGAAGTCAATGGAGAGAGAAAACGTATCTTTCGATCCCGTTTGAATTGTACCATGAATTACACATGATGTTTGTCAATCTTAAAAAATCATTTCCATGTCAAAAAAGTCACAGTTTGTCTTAAAACTGTTGAAATATAAAACTATGAAAAATACGCAACTAGAAAGACTACAAATCCCAGAGTCGAGTACATTAACATTACACATTACACTCGTGTTACTCACTGAAACCTTGTAGGCCTATAGCCGGTCCCGCATGCTGGCTCTTACGGAACCGACTAACTCCCCTTTTGTGTATGTACAGCTCTCAACATGCCCCAGACTTCTTTTTTTCACCTCTTTTAATACTTTTCACTTCATTCTGAAAGAAAGAGGTGAAATGTGCTAATGTCACGACCATCTTGGTGTTGGTGACGTATGCGAGACCAGAGATGTAGTTCATTCAGCGCTTCAAACAAAAATGTTGTTACTTCACAGTTTTACGACACATTTAAAAAATGTTGACTTGCAAAATTATCTTTTAAATTGACAAACATCATATGTGTAATTCGTTGCACAATTCAAACGGAATCAAAAGATAATCTTTCTCTCTCCATTGACCGAAAAAAGGTCCCATGGAGGTCCCCCGGAAGGGGAGGGACTTCGCCACTCTATGAGGGCACGAGATAAGTTTGTGCACAGATGGAAGGCTGACAGGCAGGTAGGCCATCCAGTTATTTTAGCTGGGCCGGCTAAAATGATTGGTCGTGCTTTTTACAGTACTACGGCTTCCACAGATGACATTTTTTATGAATTTTTTGTCAAAGCACTTAAGATATTCATTGCTATCGGGATGTTAAGAGCATTCCATGGAATATAACAAAAATTGTATCTCGAGCCGGTTTCTCAAACTTACCTACCCCACCTTTAAGTACAATCCAGTCTCACGGCATTTCGTGTTATAGTCACGAAATTAATCTATTGAATCGTGTTCACCAACACGATTTCCCCATTTTTTTCGTGTCACACAGAACGATTTTAAAAGCTATGTAAATAATAACAAATTAGAAGGAAAAAAAGATTTTAAAAATACAGATTTCAGTATTCTGAGGCTCTGAGCCCCATTTATTTTCCTCGCAGACGGCAAAAAAACTCGTGGCTTGATATTGAGTAAGAAAATGTTTTTATGAACCACACAGCTTCCGGTTTTCCAAGACCCGACCGGACAAAAAGACGTGGTGCAGGCATGAAACATACTACCAATAGAAATACATTGCTTTTAAATCAATATATTAAATTTATTTCTTGACTATTACACGAAATGCCGTGAGACTGGTTGTTAAGTACGGAAACCAAAAAGGCTCTCTATGCAAAAACAAAAGAAACATTTATTTGGAATTTGGTTATAAACAAACTACAGAAATATGCTGGGATGTAATGAGAATTGCCTGAAAGAGCTTCAAAAGAGTTTTAAACTAAAACAAAATGGTGAATATGGTAAACATGTTCAGCTATGCATCATTTTGTTACATTTTTTATTTGTTATCATGTTGACATTTATAGCCTCTAACTTAAAGCACCTAAGTAAAGTCATAGCTAGCATGGCTGTGTAGACTCTGCTATATGTCAAAATGTCTGCCATTAAAATAGTCTATTGAGTCAAATATTGGTGCCACTTTCCTGATTTAAAGGAGGTCGTTGTATTAACCCCTTTATGCACCACTAAATCAGTAGAACCACTTTTTAAAGTCATTTGTGTCACTGTTCTTGAGGATTCAGCTCTTAGTGTATATTTGTAAATATGTGTACCGTGTTGTATGAGTTGTAGATAGCTGCCCATTATGTTATCAGCCCAGCAAAGTAAGAACAATATTCTGTAAATATTTGTACATAGGACACATTGTGAAATAGTTACGTTTAAAGGAATAGTTTGACATTTTGGGATTTCGCCTTCTTGTTTTAAAACAAGAACATATAAAGATGTTTGTGAAATCTGTACAATACTGAACAAACATGTAAAAACTATAAAGTATGGCAGCTAGCTGTTTCCAGTCGTTATGCTAAGCTAAACCCTTAGGCTAAACCTGACTATATTTATGCATCACAGGAAATGAAAAGAGCGGTATCATATCTTTCATACTACAGTGAACATATCTCCCAAAATGTTTAACTATTTATTTTAAGTTGTAAACACACCATTTGCCCCTTGCCAATTAAATGTAATATGTGTTGGTTATTTATTTTTTGTCGGTAGTAGCCTAAGTTAAAGTTAAAAACCATACAACTGTGTTCATTTTTATTCCACAAGAAAAGCAAGAAAATATAAAGATGTTTGTTTAATCTGTATAATACTGAACAAAAGCATAAAAACTACCCTTGCTGTAAATTCACATTTAGAAATCAACATTAAGACAGAACTAGCTGTTTCCAGTCGTAATGCTAAACTAAGCTAAACCCACAGCTAAGCCAAATCACAGGAAATTAGGATCATATCTTTCCACCTACAGTAAAAAAGTTAACATATCTCCCAAAAAACTATTTATTTTAAACATTATGTTTTAAACACACAATTTGCCTCCTGCCAATTAAATGTAACATGTGTTTGATTATGTATTGTTTTGTTGGTGTTTGTTCGATCTAGTAAAAGTAAAAACCATAAAAACTGTGTTCAATTTTTATTCCACAAGGAAAGCATCACTTGTAATTTCTCCTACAACATACCAGCAGTATTACAGGCCTGGTGTAATGCATATCTGTCAGGTAACTCAACTCCCCTCTGATGTCATCAAGAGTAATTGAAACCTTGCTGAAGGCTGCAGCCATGGAGCCGACCGGATCCCCGCCTCTCACTGGACAAAACCTCGCTATGAGGAGAAGCTCGGCTGTGGGAACATGGCGCACACACTCCGGATTAACTTTCCCCAGGAAAAAGTTTATAGGTTCGCTACTTAGCAGGCAAATCTCCCCATAGTATCGAGCAGTAAACGCGCAGCAAAGTGTGGATAAACTACCAAACTGTGGTGTGTTTTGGATGGTGTGTTTTCCTGTCCTGCTTCACTGGGATGAAAGTTTGTCGCTGCCGGATTTAGCCGAGAGCAGGATGGAAAAGCAAAGAACGAAGAAAGAGAAGGTAAAGCTAATGGAAAAACAATGGTGTGTTTTATTTAGTGGTTTCACAAATCCGCTGGTGTGGTTGGCAGAGCATTCCTGCAGGAGACTGGGGGAGAAAGAAAGTTCACAGACTAAACAACAGCTCACATCCCATGATGAAGTGCCAGCCTGCAGGATTTGTTTTGAAACCACTGGCAGGAGTTTACACTCATTGAACCCCTCCCAAAAAACGTAATCTTACCAATTGTTTTCTATATTGATTTATTACTCCATGTGTCTCTCAACATATACCATCTCTTAAAATAATAATACGTCTTAACGTTAGTGGTTGAGGAAGAACTCATATATTTTACGTAGGTATTGTAGGTTGTAACAGCAGTGCAGAAATAGCCTACTTCTAAAACTCCTCCAATAAAACAAGTGACAACAGGACAATGGTGTTGTAATAACAGCATCATGTCCTGAGAGTAAACCCTGAAGTAGTATATTAAAAGTCCCACTACATATTATAAAAATCATATAATGCATCATAGTTGAGTGGAGTAAAAAGTAAGCTAAGTATTTTTCTGAAATGTTGTGTAGAAGAAGTAAAGTAGACTACAATTGAAATACTCAGGTTAAGTACAATTAGGCTACCTAATTTGTGTATTCAAGTACAATACTTCAGTAAAGGAAGGTAGTTACTTTCACCATCGCTAAATGAGTAGTCTAAAACACCAAAAGCTCAACATTTTTACTTAAATACAGTACTTGTGTAATTGTACATAGTTACTTTCTACTACTGGTCTTAAGGCAGACACATATTCATAAATAAATATCAACTTATATATATATATCCTATCCTCCTTCAGTTATATGTGTATGTACAACTTGCTTCATATACTCTATTTATATATATATATTACTGTGTATGATTTCAACTAATAACGTGTTGCCTATAATGCCTCTCCTACAAGGATATATACTTATTGATAGATCAAAGTGCTGCGTTCAGGGACACAGGTTCCTCTCCAGAAATGTACTCCTTTTGACCTGGGCTGCGAAATAAACTTAATAAGATAGGAGACAGGGGAAGTGTTTGTGTACGTGTTTGTGTGTGTGTGTGCATTATTTTAGGAAAGGAAACTCACTTTTATTTTTGCATGTGTGTGTGAGCCTTTAATTAGCTGTTACAGGAATATCAATCAACAGACATGTGATGCAACAAATCACATACAGATGAAGCAGGCTGCACACACAAAAGGTCAGAGCATAGTTCGATATTTGATATAGTTGACCATTAAAATAAATGTAAGGACATTATAGGACTAAAAGCAATTGCTGTGATTAACTTGTTTCATTTCTGTGGCCATAAAACTAACATTTTCTGGGAATCTTCTAAGGTTCTGAAAGAGAAAAATAAAGCTTTTAATGCTTAACAGCAGCTCTAGAATAATGAATATTTTTATATGAACAAAAGGTCAAATGATTGCAGTGTTGGGTGTTGCACCCATGGCTAATTATCACCCCATTCTGCTTTATTGCGTGTTTCAGCTCATTGCATTGGGTTTTACGGCCAGAAATGTTCCTTTACTTTACTGTTTTGGTTCCTTTCATCAGCGTTGTTTTTGACCGCAGCAGTTTTTACAGAAAAAGCCACTGTACGCTACCTGCTACTAGCTAGTGAAGATAGTGGAGCATTTACCACTTAAAGAGCATATATGTCCCTCAGGAGGTTGTTGGGACCAAAAATGGAGCTAAAGTGGGCTTTCATTATTCGAAATTAATTCTGATCCTGCTGAATGTATGGTCCATGTTTAAGAATTGGAAAAAAAAACACAGTGGAAGGTGGAGTGAAAACCAGAAAATTATAGAAATGATATCACTTGGAGATAAGCGCACATTTTCAGACTGTCTCTCCAAGAAGACTTTCATACAGTAGTGTTTCCCTTATTAGTTGTTCAAAGAAAAGTGACAGTAATAGTTGTGTAAAAAATTTAAATACAGACAACCGGCAAATGTCACCATTAATCACACAGTATATGCCAGAAAGTTGTAGTTAGGAAGTAACGGATATGATAATGCTTATCAAATGTTGGCAAGCTATCCGTAGAAGTTCTCTCTAATAGGTGTCTCCAGGACTGCATTTTGCCATGATGACACACACACAGTCACAAGGTAAAAACTATACCAGCGTCTGGATATTTATTAAGACCCCTGATATATTTTTCAAACTTTTATCAGGTGAATCTGTACACTCTCATTATAAAACTCTCGCTCTGTTTTACTCATCCGTACAAATACATCCTCTGCACGTACAAACAAACATTTGAACAGTTGGTACAGGTTCACCCACACAACACAACACAAGTGTGGTCAGACTAAAGTTTAAAGAACATTGTAACTCCTCTGTATTTATATAACCTGCTTAGTTACACAAACTGTGTGATTGCAAAAGTCCATCTTAGGCATCTCTCTTTTTGCACTATATTAACTGTGTTCTAGTTAAAGAGTAATACGCTTGGAGATTTAAGTCCTAATTCCACACACGTGATTAACGTGGGTTTCTTTGTTTATTTCAGCAAACAGTGCCTTGGTAACATGTTTCACAAGCTCTGCTTCATAT